CCCCGCGCACACTCGGGGCGTCTCGGGCCTCGGGGCCGTCCTTCACTGTGGGTTCCGGCCCTGCCCCACCGCCCCCAGGCCCGGGTAGCTCCAGCGCGGGGAACACAGGCCGGGAGGGGGGGGGCCTCCGCCCGCCAGCCCGCGCGGCCGCCACGCCCCCTCCCCACGGGCTGCCCGCGCCACTCGCCCCCTCGGCCGGGAGGTGGCCTCACCTCACACGGGCCGTAGCGGGGAGGGCGCCAGCGTCTCCGCCCGCCGCCCGGGCCCACGGCCGCTCGGCTGCGGCTCGGCCCCGACGGCCGGCGGCGGCGCGCTTCTGGGGGCGGGCTCTTCTCGGCGGGGGTTTCCCCAGGGCCCAGGGCGGGGGAGCAGGGGGGATTGGGGCGGGGGAGGGGAAAGGGGCTTGGGAAGGAAGGGGGAGAGGGGGAGAAAAGGGGGGAACCAAACCCGGAAAGGGAGAAAAGGGGGGAGGGGAAGAATCAGAAGGGAAGAAAGGCCCAGAGTCCGCCCCCCGCTGCGGCCTGCGCGCTACGTCACCACGTCAGGCGTAATCGTCAGCGCGTCCTGCGCCCCGCGCGTCCCTGCTTCCTCTGTGCCTCTCCGCCGCTGCAGACGCCCCTGATCACCCACTCGCCGCGACTACCCACACGCTGTCCTCCCCGGGACACACGCACACGCCAGCGCGCTCGTTCGCTCGCTCCCTCCGCGTTACCTGTGTCTCGAGTCAGCAATCCAGATCCACTGCGATCCTCAGTCCTCAAGTCCATGAAGCCTGTCAGATTCACCCAGGATTTAAACATAATACTAATTACTCTAAAGTAATTTAAGTCTACAGAGCACTTTCAAAATAGCCTTTCACTTAGGACAGTAACTCCTGCAATAAATATTTGTAGTATAAATGGACAAAGATCACGTAGTAGGTGGATGTCCATTTTTTCCACATGTAAAAATTTAATTCTATAAAAAGGTTTAAGTCCATCTTATTAAAATCACTTACCACCCCCTTCCAAGATACAGTTCTTTTCCTTAAGAGTCATTTGAGTTTGCAACCTCCCCCATTCTGTCCGTTCTAGGCAGAATCAATTTACGTTATTGATCAGATGGACTTGGATCATTTACTGACCAACTCCCTCAAAGAAGAACTGTAGTCTTACACTGATAGAATTTGGCTATTAAATATTTATTATGCCGCAAGAACTGCAGTAGGCAAAAAAATAATTACAGTACAATGTAAGTGCTATAAATAGAGATATGTTCAGTGTGCTGTGGAAACAAGCAATTGGTTGTTAGAGGTAAGGGAGATGGAGTAAGCTACAGAGAAGTTATGTGCTGTGTGCCTTAAACATATACGGTGATGTTTGGTTAATTTTCAATAGAACAGGGGCAAAATTCCCACGCGTTTAAACACTTATATAATAGATCAGGCACTGTGTGCAATGCTAGGAATATAAGGTAAGCAACAAAGATGACTGGCTAAGTGACTGCACTGCAGACAGAGATTAGGGGCATGGCATCTAGGAAAGAAGAGCCCAGAAGGGCAAATATTGGTGGAAAAAATTTGGCCCACAAACAAACCTGCATAGCAGAAATAATAAATTTTTGTTAAGAACTTGCTATGTGCCAGCCGCTGTAAGTGCTTTACAAAATTATTTAAATCTCAAAACTCTGAAATAATCATTACAGATCTATAATCCCATATTCAAAGTCCATAGGGCCAGACATGTCTCAGAATTCAGAAAATTTCAAGTTTTAGAAAGGTAAAATGATACACATACTGTATATTATATAATACCCCCAGGGGTATCCCATAATCAAATAATTGATATTTCTGGAGTAAAAATGTATAAATAGTCTCAGTACATTTTTTTAAAAGATCATAGATAACCTCCTCTCTGTTCAGTTCACCATATGAGTTACAAAAAAAAAAAGTGTACTATGGGGGTCTTGGATTTTGGAATCATGGGTAATCATGTTTCCCATTTCTCCAATGAAGAAATGAAAGCAAGAAAGTTCAAGTAACTTGCCTAGAGTCACACAGCTAATAAAAGGAAGAGAGAGAATTTTGACCAAGGTCGTCTGGTTTAAAAAACCTATCCTCCTGGGACGCCTGGGTGGCTCAATCGGTTAAGCGCCCACCTTTGGCTCAGGTCATGATCCCAGAGTCCTGGGATGGAGTCCCACATCAGGCTCCTTGCTCAGCGGGGAGCCTGCTTCTCCCTCTGCCTGCCCCTCCCCCTGCTTGTGTTTTCTTCCCCCCCCCACAAATAAATAAAATCTTAAAAATAAATAAATAAATAAATAAATAGAATAAAAACCCATCCTCCTAACTCCACCCACCATTCCTGCCAGGTAAATCCCTACTGTGGGAGCACAGGCCCTTCCCTGAAGAGCCACTGGTGAGGACCTTTGGAGAACCAGGGATTCTGAGAAATCTCAAAATCCCCTTTCCTAAATAGAAGAGTCCCCAAAGGGTGAGCAAATATAGCTCTCAAGCCCCTTTCCCACCTTCACACTTCCCCCTGAGGATACAGAAGACCTGGCTAGAACACTTCCCTTCCTTTTCCTTAGCCTTTATACTGGCTAGTTTTGAGCCCAGTGGGGTGGGGATGGGGGGGGCGGGTGGCTAACAAAGGAGTCTGCATTGTGAGCCTCAGGAAGGGAGAAAGGGGGCAGTGGGGCTTTGAGAAGTACCTGGCAAAGGAAAATGAAACTCTTGTTATCTGCATGACAATGACACAAAGTGCCCTGCCAAGGACCCCTCTTGTTTGAGAGTCACTCTTTAACGCTCTGTCTTCAAACCTCTCATCTCTCCCTTTTTCTCCAGGTTTCCCAGCAAGGCCTTTGATCTGAAGAGGAATTTCATCTCTAACCTTTATCCCCAGGTCTGGCAGCTTCCATGGGTAACCCACTGTCTCCCAGCACTGGCCCAGGGACATTTCTTTCCCCAAACTAAACAACCTCCTCTCACATCCCCCACTTTGTACTTTAATTGACTGTGTGTTGGAGGCTTCTGCCAAGTTCTACCTGTAACTGGCTTCATCTCTCAAGTCAGATGTTTGGCGGCTCTATCCCCTGCAACAAGGAGCCATGCCAGCTGGACACACTCTCCTTCCAGGGCCCCTGGCGGCCAGGTTGGAGGTGAGGCCGCAGCTGCTGAGATCCTGAGCCCCAGTTTTACGGCTCTGTCTCAACCATATCACTGAAAGAGGGCCTCCCCCAGCAATGATCTCCTCATTACTCCTGGCCTTCCTCTTCCTGGCTCCAGCCCCAGTGGCCATTCCCAGAGCTGACAGCCAGTGTCTGGCATGTGGAGGACCCGCCATGGACCTGGATCATCAGCGGGAGCTGCTTCTTGACCTGGCCAAGAGAAGCATCTTGGACAAACTGCGCCTCAGCCAGCGCCCAACACTGAACCGGCCTGTGTCCAGAGCTGCTCTGAGGACCGCGATGCAGCGCTTCCGTGGGCCCCCGCAGGGGACGCTTCCGGAGGCTGACGGGGAACAGGAATATGAGATCATCAGCTTTGCTGACACAGGTGGGGTCCTGTTCTATAGATCTTCCCCCAAGGATGGAAAAGTCTCCTCCCCAGCCTAAGCCCTGACTCCCTCCCCCAAACCCTCCCAACTCTTGCTTGCCATGGCCTGTAATCTCCTAATCCCAGGCTCCCACACCTCACCCCACCCCCTGCTCCCTCTTATTTAAACTTGACCAGTGGGCAGCTGGGAAGCGGGTAGATTTCACTTCTTTTGAGACTGCCTGCCTGCATGTCCTCTGGCTCCCACAAACTTCCACAGGCTGTGGCGTGAGCTCATCCACTTCCTGGGCCTGGACCCTGAGGCTGGGAGCTAGGGCGTCTGTCCGTTCTCTGGCCCCTGTCTCCCGCAACAGCCAGATGCCTCATCTGAGTAAAAAGGGAAAAAGGAAAACCCCAGGACTACAATACTCGTCCAGCCTACCCTTGCTCCCTCATCTTAATACCTTGGGTCCTCACGTCAGAACAGGGTCAAAATGCGACTCAGAAAAGTAGACAAAGGATAGAAGATGGAGGAGAAGGAAGAGTTACTTCCAGAGAGGAAAAAGGAGTTGGAGAATTTAGTGAGTAGCTGGAGAGACAGTCAAGAATTTGGAGACAGGACCCTAGAAACAGAACACAAAGTGATCTCTTTGGCCTCTGAGCTTCTTGCAAGCTCTTCCTTGGGTCTGGAAGGTCCTTCCCATTCCTGGCCCCTTTCCCCTGGTCAGCACCTACTCTCCTCCCCCTTCAAGACCCAGGACTTCCATCCTCAAAAAACCCACCCTGACCTGAGGGTGAGGGGCTCCCTCTCTGGTGGCTCCCCTACCCCTACCCTGAACCTGAACTCTGTGTGGAATTGCCTATTTCCAAGTTTTCTGTGAAGTCTGTCTTCCCATAAATGTCGACCCCTTGAGGTCAGGAACTGTCATTTAGTCCTCATGTTATCACCAGAAGCTAGTGTATAGTAGAAATAACTAACTCTTACATCATATTTACATTATTCTAAGTTTTTTACATATAATAACTCCTTGAGATCCTCGCAACAATCCAGTGAGGCAAATACTATTGTTATCTCATTTTAAAGAAACTGAAACTGTGGGGTGCCTGGGTAGCTCAGTCAGTTAAGCATCCAACTCTTGATTTTGGCTCAGGTCATGATTTCAGGGTCATGAGATTAAACCCAGAGGTTCGAGCTCGGTGGGGAGTCTGCTTGGGGATTCTCTCCCTCTGCCTCCCCACCCTCAGGTGCGCTCTCTCTAAATAAATAAATAAATAAATCTTAAAAAAAAAAAAAAAGATACTGAAACTGAGGCACAAAGAGGTTAATTGGGGCACCTGGCTGCCTCAGTCGGTAGAACATGAAACTCTTTTTCTTTCTTTCTTTCTTTCTTTCTTTCTTTCTTTCTTTCTTTCTTAATTTCTTTTTTTTTTTTTTAAGATTTCATTTATTTATTTGACAGAGAGAGACAAAGCAAGAGAGGGAACACCAGCAGGGGGAGTGGGAGAGGGAGAAGCAGGCTTCCCGCGGAGCAGGGAGCCCAATGCGGGGCTCCAACCCAGGACCCTGGGATCGTGACCTAAGCTGAAGGCAGACACTTCACGACTGAACCACCCAGGCACCCCAGAACATGCAACTCTTGATCTCGGGGTCATGAGTTCAAACCCCATGTTGGGCAAAAAGCTTACTTTAAAAAAAAAAAAGTTGAGTAACTTCTCAAGGTCACGTGACTAGTAAGTGGCAGAGCCAGACAGCCTAGCTCTGGAACCCA